ATTTATCAATATTAACAATATATATATGCTTCAGTATATGATTCAACAAGGTAAGACATTCAACTTTAATGTCATTGGTCATCCTTTCACCCTTATTATCGTCCAGTTGGTCATCAATCCTACTTTAACTTCACCTATCAACCAATTAGACATCAATGTTAATTCAATCCCAATTGTCGCCAAGTTGGCCCCCAACTATCGATCAGTTGGTCATCAATCTTAATTCAACCCCAACTGTCATCTAGTATGTTATCTATCTAAAGTTGGACCCTAAATATCGACCAATTAGTCATCAGTCTTAATCTTTTCATTACATAAATACCACATGCACCTCAAATATATATCAATTTTGTAATGTTAGCCAATATCATGTATGAAATGCACTGATATATTAAATACATAAATGTAGAGAAAATTTTTATACAATGCATTTATCATAACTCTCATCTTACCTGATAAAATTCAATAATATTATAATCAAAACATTCATAAAATACATTTCTATCATATATGAAAAGTTATATGGTAAAAGATCGATAAATCAAGAGAAAAATATATTTTTGTAGAATTAGGAGATAACAAATCCATCAAACTCAAAATTATTAAAAAATAAAATAAGATTTGGGTTACTTAAAACGATTAGAAGAAATCTCTGAACATAATTGACATATGAAAATGCTTCAAATATTTTCTTTTTCCTATATCTCTCTTCCTTCCTCTCCCTTTCCCATTCTTCCTTCCTAAGCAAGTCACGACAGTGATGGGAGGAGGTGGCCTAATGCTTTATTTTTTATAATTTAGTATATTAAAAAAGTCTATTAGTGGCCTAGCATCGCAGCGCTGAATGCTGAATACATAATAACTGTAGAATAGAGACTCAAACAATGCATCGTTAATTTTTAGCACCACTGTGCTTTCAAGTAGACCGCCGCAATGCTACAAAGCACAACATCAAAGTGCTATATTATAAACATAAATTCAAATTATCATTTATTTTCATTTTAAAATAATTTCCATGTCTTCGGGCTGTTACACTCCAGTAAAGCTCCAAAAATTTTAATGCCTTTAAGCACTCTTGAATCTCATGCCAAGGGCCACAACCCCCTTCATGTAGAAATTGGTGGCCTATTTATACATTTTTTTAAGTGAAATATCCTATAAATATAGCTGAAATTTAGAAAATTCCATCGAATGGTATATATTGTCCCTCTTAATGATAGACTTTACTTTGGCATTTAAGTGACTTAATGTTGTAACAAATTATATAATTTTTGGTTCGTTAAATTCATTTATTCATTTAATCGAGATAAGCAATTTGACTATAAGCATGTGAGATTAGGATATCCTTTTGGTATTTGAATTAATATTGCAAACTTTCTAATTATGCATCAAATACTTGTTGGGTCCTTTAAAGTTGGATGATATTATTAGTGTCAATGGATTCACCTAATTTGACTATAAATTTGCTGAAATTGGCATTTGGATGGTCCTGAATTCAATTCTGAAAATTTTCACATATCTCTCCTTTTAGAGTCATGTATATAAGTGCTTATTGTAGTTTTTAAGTAACGAAAATTTGAAAATAAGCCGCCAAACTAAAGGAATTTTTATGAATATAGATAGAAGGATTTATTAAAAAAAAAATACAAGATTGTCTTAAAAAAAATTGCATCACTTCTGAAAAAAAGGAATTAATAAATTAAACTATTAGATACTTTTGTTGTGAATTTAAGTACTTTAAATACTATATTGGGATGACTAATTTAGGTTATTGTTAGTTCTATTAATGCACATATAATCTAGGTATTGCATGGGAAATTATCCCAAATAATAAGCATATATTTTATAATTTATGAAAGAAATAAATTTAATCATAAATAAAAAATTGCTCTTAAATATTAAAAAAAAATTAAGAAAAGAATTGACATTTTATTTTTGGCATTCCTTGCAAAATTTTGTTAAGGATTCTATAAAGGATTTTTGTCTTCTCAATTACTTTTCAGAGTAGCATTGAAAATAATAAATTTAAAAACTGTATTTCTTTTAAGAAAGAATTATTATATATGCTTTCTTGAGGCCATATTAAAGTGTAATCAATTAGAATATTATTTAACTTAGGTTTTATTTGGAATGATTTCTTTAACGCTTCTTAAAGCAGCTTTTTAGTACAATAATTTAAATTTTTGTACTAAAAAGCTGCTTTATGAAGTAATAAAAAAACTGTTTCAAATAAACCTTAATAGAGTTCTTATGAACTCCACAGACATATTTCTTGGATCATTTGTGAAACCTCTTAAGTAAAAGAAATGAAACTTTAAACATCGAGGTATCTTTTGTTGTAATGGTTGGAATTTCACTAAAAAACTCTAGTTAAATGTGCTCATCCAAGAGCAATTCTAAGATTAGTGACCTACTAAAAAATTACACCAATAAGATAAAACAGTGAGACGCTTAAACCAAAGCGGACAATATCTTGATAGTTAAGAGTTTGAGCTGTTGCAAATGTTATCTGAGCATTACACCATTTGAAAGATGGAAACTAACTGTCAAATTAGGATGGATGCCCTATAAGATAAAGTGATATGTCATGGGAGCCACCTCATAAGACAAAGTGCTACATGACGGGAGCCACCTCTTGAACCCTATATAAGACAAATGTTATCTGAGCATTACACCTTTAGAAACTCATCTGCCTGGTGGATAATTTTAGGATAAAGTTGCTGACGAGGACGTCATTTACTTAAATGGGGAATATTGTGAAATCTCTTAAGTAAAAGAAAATAAACTCTTAAACAACGAGGTGCCTTTTGGTATAATGATTAGAATTTCATTAAGAAACTTCATAGTTAAGCGTGCTCATCCTGAAGCAATTTTGGGATGGATGACCTAGCAGAAACTTACACCAATAGGATATAACCGCAAGGCTCTTAGGTCAAAGCAGACAATATCTCGATAGTTAAGAATTTGAGTTGTTACATATTTGAGGCTGATAATTGAATGACCGCTATCAAGGATATGTGCAATTTGTTATAAAAAATAGCAAAAAGTTGTTATCTTTTTTTATTACTCTTAAATTTGATAAGAGAAACTTATTGGAATTGTTTATATCAACATGATCATCAAAATTTTTATCTATAAACTCTAATATATTCAAGGAATTAAGATCTATAAAATAATTATTTTGTTTGGTTATCAAAGACTTACATTAGCGGGGGTCACCATCACACCATTTGTCATTGGCCCTAGCATGCTCGATTGTTCCAGTTTTAAGAGGTATGATATCACGTTGATATTTTTCACAAGAGGGAGATTGTAGTCTTATTCATTTATTTTCAATAATAATAAGATCTATTTTGTTATAATTAAAAAAATTGGGGTGAAATAGCCCGCTTAAACTTTACAAAAATACAACCAGTATCATGCTTTATGACATTTTTGAACTTCTAGATTGCGGAGAATTTTATAGTTCACACTACCACAAGAAGTTCTACTAGGTCATTTCTAGTGTTTGCAGATTAGTAATAAGGCTATGATTGTCCATTAACTTTGGTTTTATTTGCCGATCTCCTCTTTTTAGGAATGGAATTATCTTGGCTATAGGGAAGTCAAAATCAGGTCATGGGTCTAGTATGGGTCCAACCTGAAACTGACCCAATACAAGTTGATCCGACCTGAATCCAACCCACTTATGACTCGGATCAACCCGACACGACCCGCCAACCTAGGTCTGAAGGAGGCGCATGTTAGGGGGAGCTCACATCGGAATATCGGATGATTGTTAGAAGAAATAATAGATTTCGACGAAAGCGTAGTTGTGTGAGGTGAAGAAGCTTCCCAATAAGTGATAAGAGCAATCACTGGGGTAGATCATATAAGATCAAATAAGCAAACAGAGGGAGAGAGCTTTACGGCAACGTGCCAAATCTACAGGCTATCATCGGTGGCGACGAGCTGCTTCAGGTGGGAGAGCTTCGCGACAAGCCATGTGCTTGATTTCTTTCGAAATCCAGACCACGCCGCCTATGCCTGTCTGACCTCAATGTCGCCCGACAACCGTATTACACACACTCGTCTTCAAGCAAATTCGAAGTAGCTGAAACAGATGGCGTTATAGGAGGTCGAAGGAGCGACGATTTTCATAGAAGCACACAGCACCACCGTTGCGACTATGGTGGACGACTGGAATCTGAAGAAATCCACAACTGCTTCGAAGGAATCTAAAGACTGTCAAATGGAGCGAAATGTAGTAAAATCTAACAATGCATTGAAAAAAAGGTAAAAAAAAAAAATTTAAATTTTACCATGGCAGGAACTGATAATGAAATTGGTGGCCTGGGACAAGATTGCAGCGGAGTCAATGGGAAGAGTGGAATCTGGTAAGGAAGGAAGGAAATCGAATGGTATATTAATTGGCTCGCATCCGCCATGTAAACGTCGTCTGGATGAGCAGCTCCATGCGGTGGATGGTTATGGGTTCAAACACATACTTTGGATCCAAAATCTAGAGATCGAGAGGCACGTGCACTTGAGTCTCCCCCATCTTGGCAGCGATTGAGAGGCAAGCTACATATAATCATCCGGGTCAAAACTTGGTTTCCGGGTTGACCCGAACCTGATCCGGGATTTGAAACGGGTCAGGTTTATAGGCCCGAACCCGACCCATTTTGTAATCGGGTCGGGTTCAACCCAAAATTTTCTGGCCGGGTTCGAGTCGGATTTTTAGGTTGTGTCAAATATTGACGCCCCTACTTGGCTATTGCCAATCACTCTTTAATTTTAGTTTATTTAAAACCCTCCCCTTTAAAAAAAATGGATTTCTTTTAACGCTCTTAGCTATGTGTGTAAGTGAGCCAAGCTTCGAGCTCGAACAAAATTTCGAGCTTGTTAGATTATCGAGCTCGAGTTCGAGCATGGGTGATGCTTAGCTTGATTTCTCTCAAGTTGCTCGATTAACGATAAGAATTAATTATGCGCGAACCGACAATGAAAGGCGTAAGGCGATGTCGAAAGCAGAAGCGGGGCGAAGAGCGGGTGATGTCTGCGCATGTGAACCGCAGAAGGTGCTGCTCATCTACACACACAACCATGGAAGGAGGACTGGCGGACCGCATAAGGTTTTGACTTATGAGTTGAGCATGAGTTAGGCCTTACTCAAAGCTCAACTCGACTCATTTGCAACCCTGACCTTAACCACTTTTAAATTCTAGCCATAAAATTCCTCTCTTTTTAAGAGAGGGACAGTTATAACCACCATCAATTTTTTTATGGACGTTATATTTTTAACTCTCCACTCCTTTTATGATTGATATATCATCAAAAAATTATCTTGACCGGGCACGAATCTCGAGGCAAAAATCAAGTTGAAAACTTCAAAAATTAAATCTAGGATCACCTGAACTCCGATTTCAGTAAACTTATAGTCAAACTGCGCGTCTCGGAAATACAAACCCAACAACACCAAATTCGTCTCAATCTGAGCCCAAATGAGTCCAAATCAAAGATTCGAAGCGTTGTTGGAACGTTTGAACCATAATTTGAGTTAACAAATGGTTTTGAAACATGGCGTTCTTATTGTCGAATCGAGCGGCTCGATGAGACAAATCCAACGAGCCCAAGATCGCCAAATTATGATATCATTAAGACCTTCAAATGCCTTATGAACGGTACAGGATCAAGTGATCCAATATCGGCCGTCCATCCATTCCACTCCACCTTTGCCCTTGATCCTCCTACTATTTATGCGTCATGCCATCCTAAAAAAATTATAAATAGCCCCTCATTTCTCTTGAGAGGGAGCCCCAAGAAAGAAGAAAAGAGAAAGATAGGAGGAAAAAAACTCCTCCTCGACCACCGTCGGAGTTCTGTCCAACGCCCAAGTGACGCCGGAGTTCTGCCGGACACCCAAGTGATGACGGAGTTCTATCCGACGCAAGTGACGCAAGAATTCTTCCCGACGCCCAAATGACGTTGGAATTGTACCCAAGTGACACCGAAATTATGCCCAAGTGACACCGGAATTCTGCTTGACTTCCAAGTGACGCCGAAACTCCTCCCAATCTCCAAGTAACGTCGTAGTTCTCCCTGGCCATCGACTGATGTCAGACTTCTATTTGATGCCAGACCTCAACTCGTCGCCAGATTTCTACTCGACACCGAACTTCTACCATTTGTCAGACTTTTGTCGGACATCTATCCGATGCTAGATTTCTATTCATTGCTGAACTTCTATCTGACGTCGTCCTTCTAACCTCTGTTGTTAGATAATGGTCCTTCCGACCTCAGTCACCCGTCGACTATGGTCCTCCTGACTTACGTCGCCCACCGACCACAGTCCTTGGAACCTTCGTCGCCCGCTGACTATGATCCTCATGACTTATGCCGCCCACCGATTACAGTCCTTCCGACCTCCGTCGCTCGCCGACTACGGTCGATCCTTGTGACTTACATCGCCCATCGACTATAATACTTTTGACCTGCGTTGCCCGTCGACTACGGTCCTACTAACATACGTTGCCCACCGATTACAGTTCTTTCAACCTCCGTCACATGTTGACTACGATCCTCCTGACTTACGTCGCCCACCGACTATTGTACTTCTGATCTCTATCGGCAAAAAATGATCTTTACGACCTCCGTCGCCCACCGACTATAGTCCTCCCGACTTACGTTGCCCACCAACTACAGTCCTTCTGACCTCAATCGCCAGCCGACTATGGTCCTCTTGACTTACTTCGCTCACCAACTATAGTTCTTCCGACCTCCGTCGTGAGACAATAATCTTTATAACCTTCATCGCACGCCGACTACGATTCTCCTGACCTCCATCACCAGACTCTGGTCCTTCTGACCAAACAAACACGTCAATATTGATTATTTATATTCCTACCATGTAATGTACTCCATATGATGCACATCAAGCCAAAACCTTCCCCCAAGGAAGGGCCTCATTTGTAATCAACTACAATTCTAGTGGATTCATTCAAACTGGGCTAGACCCCGTGGTTTTTCCCCATTTTCAGGGGTTTTCCATATAAAAATTTTAGTGTCTCATATGAATGCTACACCTTCTCTCCTATTTGATTGCATGCCAGATTTTTGTACCAACGCTAAGATGCTAAACTTTATATTTTTTTACCGCCACAAATACTCCTGGACGCAATAGCGAGAATAATTATGAAAATTCCCTATCTACTCCCCCATCCTCCTAAAAGAGGGACTATTCTAACCTCCCTCATATATCCATGAATTTTAAGTTATGACTTCTTTCTTTTTAGGATAGGGATATTCCTAATATATCGTAGTTCCTAAGAAGTACAAACTACTAGTCATTTAGTTCCCTTATCTTTCGCCAAAGAACTATTTTAATTGCCTCTAATAGTCACTCGGAATTTATTTAAGCTTTCTTCTACTTGATAATTTCTAGACCTTGATATTATTGTGGTTCTTTGATATTTATAACGATTTAATCATTTTTTATGAATCTAAATATATTTTATTTTAAAAATAAACTTAAATATTTTTAACTTAAATATTAAATCTTAAAAAATATCAATTAATCTTTTGTAAAATTTATAAATTTGACATGCAAAATAAATAATATTTATATTCATTTTCCTATCATTTATTTATTTATAGTGCAGTAGTGCTGCGAAATTTTTTTTCAAGAAAATTTACTAATAAACTTAATTGTTTAAAATATATTATCTCTTGTCCAAAACAAGAATTCTTTCGACGTAACCAACAGTAAACCGGTGGACACATTGATGCCTATGGCAGCGGGACCCACATTGATTCAGTTTGACCGCCCCATGTGACCCGCCGTGACGTCTGCGAGTCGCAATCCATCTTAGCTTAGCTTACAGCCTAACGCTGAAGCATTTTGATCCCAGCAATCTAGCTGTAAATTTTTAAAATCAAATAGCATATTTATTTTAGGTAAAATAGAGAGGAAATCATTTATAAACGCATAAATTTGATAGTTAAAAAAATCATATTAATTTTTTAATTAAACGTATTTTAAAATTTAGGTATTTCTCTCCATAAATAATTACGAAGTTAAAATTTTATTTATAAAAAAAATGTGATAATAAAATTTTCTAATAACTATATTCTAATAAACTTAATTATCAAAAGCTTATTTTCATTTTAAAAATTTTAAATTTAATATTTTGTGATAAATCAAATATATAATAATTATTTTTTAAAGCTAAGTACCTATAACAATGGTATATCATCATAACTATAATAAAAAAATTATTATTTGTTGGTATGTAGATAAAAGAATTTAAAATTTAATATAAATTTATGTAATGATATTATTATTAGTAATATCTTTATTATTATTATTATTATTATTATTATTATTATTATTATTATTATTATTATTATTATTATTATTATTATTATTATTATTATTATTATTATTATTATTATTATTATTATTATTATTATTATTATTATTATTATTATTATTATTACTATTATCAAATGATAAAAAAATATTTAGTGCTTTAAGTGGGGTAATATAATATTTCTTTAATTATGATGAACCGAAAAAAATTAAATTAAAATAAATAAATGATAAAATTTTTTTTATTTATGTTTTATGGAATAATTTGATGTTGAATTTTGAAAGAAAGTTAAGTCGAAATATTTCAATCATAATTTGATGAGATTAATTTTTCAAATTATTAAAATTTCCTTAAAATCAATTTAATTAAAATCCGTTCATAATAAAATTATATTAATCCCCAATAAAAATTAATATTATTAAAATCCATTTTTATTTAAAATTACAAAAAAAAATCTCATCCAATTTGTTTCCTATTTTTTAGATAAAAAAATAATTACTCTTATTCTCTTTTCTCATTATAAAAAATCATTATCATATTAAGTCATTCAATTAAAAAATGATAATATATAAAATAATCATTTTTTTCTAAATAAAAAAATATTTTCTAATTTTAATGTTTTTTTTTTTAATTTTTTATTTTTTAAACAACAAGACTTTTTAACTACACCGTATAATTGAAGAGGATCAAATCCCCATGTAACTACATCATGCACAGCAATTCATCTCAGCCATCTAATTTATAATCAATGATTATGATTAAACCTAGATGGACAATATAAATGGGTTACTGCACCTCATAGAGTTGTATATATATATTGTTAATTTATACTTGTATGAAATTCTAAGAATTTTTTTTTTCAGAAAAAAAAAAGTTTAAAGCTTGTTGCATCCAGGAGTATTCGCGGCGGTAGAGAAATATAAAGTTTATCGTCTTAGCATTGTACAAAAATTCGGCACGCAATCAGATAAGAGAGAGGGCCTAGAATTTATGAGACACCAAGATTTTTACGTGGAAAACCCCTAAAAAGGGGGAAAAACCTTGGGGCCTAGCCCAGTTTGAATGAATCTACTAGTATTGCAGTCGATTACAAATGAGGTCCTTCCTTGGGAGAAGACCTTAGCTTGATGTACATTTTATAGAGTTTTACATGATATTAATACAAAGAATCATTATTGACATGTTCGTTTGGTCGGGAGGACCGTAGTCGGCGGGCGACAGAGGTCGGAGGGCTTGTAGTCGGTGGGCGTCGTAAGTCAGGAGGACCATAGTCGGCGAGCGACGGAGGTCGGAGGACTGTAGTCGACGGACGACTTAAGTCAGGAGGACCATAGTCGACGGGCGATAGAGGTCGGAAAGATTGTAGTCGGTGGACGACATAAGTCAGGAGGACCGTAGTTGACGGGCGACGGGGGTCGGAAAGGCTGTAGTCGGTGGGCGACATAAGTCAGGAGGACAGTAGTTGGCGGGTGACGGAGGTCGGAAAGACTATAGTGACGACGAAGATCAGAAGGACAGCGTCAGGTAGAAGTCCAACAATGGAAAGAAATCCATCTAGCGAAGTCTGATAAATGGTAGAAGTCCGGCGTCGGGTAGAAACTTGGCGAAGAGTGAAGGTCTGACGTCGGGTAGAAGTCCGACGTCTGTTGGTGGCAGAGGAGAACTCCGGCTTCACTTGGGCGGAGTTTTGGCGTCGGGAGGGATCTCTGTTGCAAATTGGGAAGAATTTCAGCATCACGTGGAAGTTGGGCAGAATTCCTGCGTTCTCCCGAATATCACGCAAAATCCCGGCATGTTCGGGCGGCACGACGAACTCCGGCAGTGGTCGAGGAGGAGAGGATTCTCCCTTTCCCCTTGTTCTTCTTCTTTCCTTCTTCTTCTCTCTCTTCACTTGAATCCCCCTTTGTGAAGAATGAGAGCTCTATTTATAGTTTTTCTGGAGTGGCATGACTTTGTAAATAAGTGTGAGATCATGGGCGAATAGGGAGTGGTTTGAATGGACAACCGATATTGAACCCTTTGATCGTGCACCGTTCGTTGAATATTTGAAGGCCTTAATGATGTCGGAAATCGACGATCTTGGTCTCGTTGGATTTGTCTCGTCGATCCTCTCGATTCAAGTATAAGCTCGTTAAAATTAGAGACCGTTTGGTAACTCAAATTGCGGTTTGAACCTTCCAACAGTGCTTCGGGTCCTTGATTCGGACTCATTTGGGCTTGGATTGGGTCGAATTTGGTGTCGTTGGGTTCGTATTTTCGAGACGCTCAGTTTGACTATAAGCTAGCTGAAATCGGAGTTCAGGTGCTCCTGAATTTAATTTTTGAAATTTCGGACTAGCTTTTTGCCTCGAGATTCATGCATGATCAAGATAATTTTGTGACGACGCATCAAAGCTTAATGAATAAGATTATTAACTATCTTTATTATATAAATATGATAATTAATCTTTTCTTTATACTAGAGAATTTTGTAAGACTCACATTAGTACTGGGATTTTAAATAATTTGTTTTTTTTGCAAAAAGATAGATAAATTAGTATTTTTATCTATTAAAATTTGAACTTTATTCTCTTGAAAAAGAGATTAAATTGTAGGAAAATATATTTCTATAATTTTTTTCATATTTTTCAAAAATTGAACATTATATTTCATGAGATATATCTTACAAAATCAAGATTGACCCATCAATTCCTTTATTAAATTTTTAGGTATATAATATTTCAAAGTCTCTTTGAATTCTTCAAATATAATTTAAATGCTTAGATTGAATTCACGACTGAATTTACTAAGAGCACTGACCGATCTGAGGCTCAGTACTTAAGCGGGGCCTGCATTCGAATTACTTAAACGGCTAAAAATATAGAAATTATTTAATTTAAAAAATAATTAATTTGAATTTGATTTTAGTCAAAATGAATGCGATGACTGACAAAAATAACTAAAAAATAAATAATTCCAAGTTTCCAACCCTACTTCTTATTAATAATATATTACGTGCTTATTTAAATATAATAACTTAATTGATCGGTGCATTTATTTTTAATTTTTAAGTTGTAAGTGTTAACACTAGCTAGCGATCCACTGATCCGCTCTCCCGTTTGGTAAGCTGAGCCGGACCATATGCGACGCCGCCTTTTGGGCGCACCTTAAAAGTTAGCTTTATTTATACAAAACTAGTTTTTTAATAATAATTTTGGTTTCATTTACAGGGAAAGAAGAATGTATTAAAAACACGTGATTAAGGCCTATATAATCCCGTGTTTTATGCAAATCCCTGACCCTTCTTTCGATCACTGATTTTTTTTTTCTTTCTCAGTTTGCTTTCTCTCTCGAACTCACTCGGACGTACTGTTCATTGCTTTTGGGGTTGATGTCTGGTAGCCGTAGGAGGCCGCCATTGCCGGCAGGAGAAGAAAACGGCGGCGGCCGAAGGCAAGAGCAGATAGTTGGTGGAGAGTCTAGCAGGCGTCGGGCCGGGGAACCTTCGTCATCGAGGCCGCGATCTGCCGATTTGATCTGGCCTGAGCACTTCGTAGAGGCGGTCGCCGGCCGCATAGCAGAGGACGCTGCTCTGGTGGGCAGAAGGCTGGACGCCGCCCCGGCGGTCGTTACATTCTTCCAGGTATTCACTGACAGTCTACTGCTATATTCATTTTCTTATAAATTGATTCGTTGATATATATATTTGATTTCTTTGGTGAAATAATCATTTGAAATTATGATCGGACTTGCTTCGCTTCTTCTTCAGGTTTATATATCCCCGATTTTCCTCCTCCTTTAATTCATGCAGTTTCCGATTTCTAGGTTAAACTAGCTTTAGCTTCCTTCGCTGGTTTGCTCAAGTCATTTTTTTATTCCATTTTTAGCTGATTTATGTGCTTTGAGCATTTTAAAGCAATCATCTACAGATAATAGTGCATTCCTGTTTTAATTACTTCTTTGTAATTTAGTTGCTTGCTTGCTTCAGAGCTAACTTCATCAATTGATTTATCGAGTTATTGAAACGCGAAATCTTCGTTTATGTTCACATGTATGTGCGACGAGTGATGAAGTTAGAGAAACTGTTGGTTTATGTGTACAGCCCTTCTTTCGCCATCGAAACCTACAGTAGAGAAATAGCATTGAATAGTAGCTGCAACAGCCAACTAGCCAAGTGTAGGCTTTATTTCCTCATGGCCTTGATTAGATTTTATGTATATACAAGAGAGAGAAAAAGAAGAGATGGCGAGAGGCGAAAGAATCGTAGGCGGCCAACTTCCTCTCTCTCTCTCTCTGTCTCTCACGAAGTTCTGCCCGTTTTCAGGAGTGACGAGTGCGCTGCGCCTGCAACTGCTTCTTCGCCTGGACGAGGCCTGAGACGAGCAGGGCATAGAGGAAGGAAGCCGGGTTTTGTTGAGAGATGGGATGGAGCAGAGTAGTAAGTCTACCTATATGGGTTTGACCTTCCCGTTGAAATCTTACTTCTTAGAACCGAGCGCGCGGTCGGCATACGATCGTCTTTAATGAGACCCCTTCTCCGATCCATCCCTATCATAACTCTCCCGTATGTCCGTTGCCGGTCTCCTCTCTCTCTCTATCTCTCTCTCTCTCTCTCAGCCGCGCTGCTCTACGTTAAGAATGTAGAAAGAAACAAAAAAGATAAGAGGCGGGTGTGCGTTTTTCGGGTTTCGGGCATCGCTGGTTGCTCGCCTCCTGCATCTGTAGGTGCTGCAGCAGCAGTGTTGTGGCATGCGACCCTTAAAACCACCAGCATCACTGCTACTACCGCTACGAACTGTTTCGAGCTATTTTCCATCCATATCATATAGGACCACTTCGTTGCCCATAACAGCAAAACACACACACACTCTCTCTCTCTCTCTCTCTCTCTCTCCACCATTCAGCACTTTAAAATGCGTTTAGCACTTTAAAATGCGTTTAAGAAGAGGGTTTTAGTAATTAACAGGCAGTTAAATGAGAGCGAGGAGAGGAGAGGAGAGGAGAGGAGAGGAGGTAATCTAGTTAGTGGATGCTTCCTTGGAAATGAAAGTGTGGGAAAAGAAGCAACAAGGCAGCAGCGCGTTCCAACTTTTGTTCGGTGCTTGGGCGGGCGGAGGTGGACGGCTTAGGCTTCGCTCCGCCCAACGATTTGGTTCACCTCCCACTGCCATCTTTTCTGACCTTTTCCAATTAATTACTTGATAACAACTGTTGATAGATTAATTAAGGATTTACGCTTCCAGCTTCCTAGGATTAGTTTCTCAACCTTTTATATTTGGTTTCATTTCATTTTAATAGAGGTTTGACAGGTGGAAGGGCTTTGCATATTTTATGAAATTTTTGATTTTGATTTGGGGTGATGGTGGGACCCGTTGCCCTCTAGTTCCAAGCTTTTTGTTATGTTATATCCCGGCAGGAGAGGCAGCTAGGATATGTTCCCCGGCCCAGCTCGGACTCTTGCTAGTTCTTATCCATACATCCTAAAGCCGTCTCCATCGCACTTCCTTCCTTCTTTCTTTCTTTGTAGTTGGCACAGTGGCTCTGTTAAAAAGAAGACACGAACCCTCTTTTAGCTTTCATTACTTTTCCTATCTTTAGCTTCTTTTCTTTCTTTGTGCGTCGAAGTGGAGCGACGAGGTTCGCGCTCTGCGCCGGTTCTGCTTATATTTATCTAGCAGGAAAAGAAGGGTTGCTAGAAAATTAACAAGAATAATAAAATATTCCAATAGAACTGCTTTTCAGGCCGATCCTATTTACCTACAAAAGAGAAGAATTACATGTGTCAAAATCCCCTGGAATGATGAAATCACCACATACGGCCACGCTTTCTTCCACATTTTTTGTTCGCCTTGCATTGTTTTTTGGCCTGTATTGCGTTTCGCTTTTTCAAAATATAAGATGAATTTTATTGTGCCATAACACTGGTTCGAACATTTAAAAGGCAATCATTGCTATGCTATACCGTTAATAATGAATGCAATCTTGTGTAATTATATTTTGAATTACAACAATAGTATTTCACTTTATGCTTTTCGAATAGCTCTGGTGGATAAGATTAGAGAGAGTTGACATAGATGATTTGGTCACATAAAATATAGGCTTAAGTCACATTCCGATGACCCGAGTAGGAGGGAGGGTACGTAGATGTATTATATTTGACATATATTAAAAAAAAGGTTAAAATAGACTTAAAAATATTTGGCTAGAAAGTATTAGAAATTTTAAAAGAAATTTTGATTCTTAGTAAGACATAATGGAAAAGAAATTTCATGCCGTTCACATAGTAGGATAAAGGCTTGATGAATTGTTGTTTAATTGTTGAATTCTTGTAAAAGCCCCTTTTAATAAATTGCATCTAAGCAATAAAGAGGAATAAACTACAGAAAATTTTTTTGTTTAATATAATTAGCATAATTAAGCATTTTAAATTGTGCCCTATTTTTTGTTTTTTTTTTGTTTTTACATTAAATGATTAATAGTTGATTCTACCTTAAAACTTTATATTATATATTTTAAATAAACTTGCAAAAAAGGCATCTTCTATTTTATTTCTCAAAATTTTTCTTGATAATCTTCATTGTTAAAAATAAAATTGAGTTGTTGCAGACAAAATCTGCAGAGTTACGGCAACCAAATAAATCAATCAATAAGTGAATATATGACAGGCTTTTGTTAATATTTGGCATATATTGAAAATTTTGATTATGATGTGCTTCAATTTCAAAATATTTTATTTTCACAGCTCACCTTACCCTCTTGGTTGAGAGCCTATGCTTCCAACTAAGAGGTCTTGGGTTCGAGTCTTTGTATTTGCGTTGTGTGTATGAGTTTGCCTTAAATGGCCTAAATGTCCCAAAAAAAAAATTCAAAATATTTCAATTGAATTTTTAATTTTAGATTTTTTGTGTGTTCTTTAAGCCAAAATATATTCGTAAGTTGTTACATATTATTCATTTTGAATGATTGGTATCACTGTTAAAAATTCAGTTGAAGATCCAAAGCTGAACTAAAAATCAATAGTTCTACGACATGAGTTTTTAGAATGTTGTTCATAAATTATATAGAGACAAAAGTTATAATAAGAAAAATCATATAAACTTATTTGTATATTACCTAGATTTGCCTTTTCTTTACAAAATGTTTTAGGAGTTTTGTGGGTAGAAGGGAAATGAGAGTTTCATGAATTGCTCAATTCTTGAATTAGAGAAATAATTTTTTTCTCTACCGGTCAACAAATCTTCACACTTTTATTGAATGAAAAAAAAAAAAACTTTATAAAACAAAAAAAAGAATTTTAATAATATATACAAAACTACAAGAAAATGAGCATAATTTCGATCGTATATGCAATTTTTTTTTTTTGGAAAATTTTGAGCCTAGGCCGTATATTAAAGAAAAAAAGTTACAGAAATATGAAAACCCTCAAAAACAAGGGAGAACAAACCAAAATGTTTTTTTTCGATCGTATATGCAATTGTAAAATGTTTTTTTTTGTCATATATAGGGGGTGGGGCCATCCTCCATACATCAACAACCTTAAATAAACATAGAAGGTATTACTGAACTTTGAAAAAATATGGACTACCACGGCTTCGATCTTGGTCTAAAGAGTGTATACTGTTCTTTGGCGTCCAACTTAATAAAACAAATAGCAACGGGCCACCACTTCAGTGTCCTTGCTCCTGTGCGTCAACAGGGAGAGTACAGGTTTTCTATTTTGTCGTTTTGCTCTAAGCCTTGTCTTTTTGGCAATGAGATATGAGCACAGAAAGTACCAAACCACAGCTGCGCTAAAAATATGTATTGTCAATCGAGTCACCCACCGACTTAACTCACCTCTCCATATCACCCTCGTTAGAGAGATCTCCTGTCTTCTCTCTATGTAAAAGCTGTCCAACTACTCCAGCACGCCTCTAATCACAAAGACACCCATCACTCAATTTTTTTTATTTCCCCACCGATTCATTTCCTTGCAGGCCAACACCCTTTGTCCCATCATCAAAGCTTCACCATCTAAAACTCAGCTTATTTGCAGTATATCTATATCTATATAAATATATTATTTATCTTCAAGCATCATGACTAATGAAATGAATCTTGTCCTATTGAGGTTTGGATTCCATTTCCTACTTTTTACACTAATGTAATTTCTTGAAAAAATATTTGTTGTGGATTTTCTTTTGGCTTTTATGTTGAAGATTGATCCTTTTTAGTGACCCTTTTCTTAAAATCTTATAATTAACTTTATATTCTCTTATAATATATATGAGATAAATTTTTCTCCTTAAAAAAATAAACCATGAGGACTAAGCGCATCTCCAATCGAAAATCTCATTTTTCACTCTAAAATGCAGTGAAACTCAAAAATGCCATGATTCATCTCCTATCGAACTCCATTTTGTACGCTTAGGGCATCTCCAACCGAAAAACTCATTTTTCACTCCAAAATGCAGTAATACACCAAAATGCAGTAACTTATCTCCAACTGAACTCCATTTTCTAACACCAAAAAAAGAATATTCCTAGTATATTCTTCTCCATATTTCATTTTACATATTTTTAATCATTAAAAAAAAAAGGCAAATGGCGGGTGAACAGTGCGACGCCAAATATGGCGTCACACTGTTCACTGGCGACCTTATG